GAAAGGTAACGATAAGTTGTCGCCCACCGTCTTATGACCTTGTCTCAAATGTATGGTAACTTTACTGGCGTCGGTCTAAATGTGCATGTCGACATGCAAGCTTGTTACAACAAAAGCTGCATATTTGCTTGTTTATTTAGATGATTGTCTGTTGTTCATTTTTGATCACTCATTCAGAGTTTAAAAATCACTGATGTCTCGCTCCAAAAGAACTACAAGCCTAGACCGCATTTTTGGTAAAAAGAGCCTGAGCAAAAGCTCGGATTATCGCCGAAGAGCTGCCGCTTTCCCACGCTTTGCTGTTGAGCACTATCGGAACCTCCAGGAATCTTCAGAGGTAAACAAAAAAGGAATGACTGATCTTGGGAAAATGTTTTTATTTGTTTCCTTTTTTTAAATATCGGTTTTTGCTTACTTGTAATTTTGTTACGTGTTATCAGGTTATCGCAGGGCGAGAGTGCATGTCTACATGCAGCCACGTTTTAGCGAACTACGACCAAAATGGGATTGTTATTACTGGCTTGGAATCTGAAGTCCAATCTGAAGCAACGCCAGATTTGAGTCTGCTCGTACATGTCGAAAGACAAAGCACCTTTGAGAAAGTAATATCATTTCTTCGCATATCACGGAAGCATCGGATGTCTGGCATACAGCAAGATGCGATGCTAAAGTTTTTCGGTCCTATTTCGGGAGAAGATTTTCCTGAAAATCTATATAAACTGGACAAATTTTTGCTGCCACACTCATTGCCTCCGCAGAAACACTATTTTTGTCCTGTCCACGGAAATTATGTTGGGGAAGATTCATCATTATTGGAACCGTTGTTTTGTGCAAGTGCAGACTGCGAGTCGACTCGCATCACGAAAAAAGATCTGGAGGAGATGGGGGGTGTTTTTTACGTGTTTCCTATTTTCGAGAGCATTCAGAAATACCTCGGTCTGGAACAAAATAAAAAAGAATTATTCGAAAGGAAGCGGCGTGATGTGCAGATGTTGGACATTCAAGATGGCAAGCGATACCAGGACTTCGATCTTGAGGCGTCTGACTTAACAATTACCTTCCATATGGACTCCGGGAACGTCTTCGGTATTGGTGGCAGTGAAAACGGCTCTGTTACGATTTTTGATTTTTTGATCAACGAACTTCCGTCAAGAAAGCGCTATCGTCGCCCCTTTCTGTATGCGGTAGCGGTGGGTAAAGTTCAGCCGAATTCGCAGATATTGCTCCATTTGTTTACGACCGAGTGCAAGCGCCTTTGTGTGTCGACACACAATGATTTCCGAATTATCCCCGCAATATTTATCGCAGATGCCGTTGCGAGAATGGATGCGATGCTTCATGTATCGTACCAGGCAGAATACGGTTGTACCTTTTGCATCCATCCTGGCGAAATCGTGGCAGGCGTTCGCGTTTATCCTGTTGTCAATGGAGGATTTCCTTTAAAAATAAAATCCGTGTATCGGGAATCATCGAAAGATGCAGTCCATACTGGGCACCCAGTTAAAGGCTGCATTGGACCTTCCCAAATATTGCGGCTAAACTCAGTCGATCCGTCTTTGTCTTGCCCCCCTGATGTGCTTCACGCTATTTGCCTGGGGCAAATGAAAAAAATTATTCAGTATTGGACGAAAGATTCTGTGAAATCTTTGGCAGCTTTTAATGAAATGTCTGATGAAAGAAAAAAAGTATTAAACAACGCTCGCCTTGTGGAGGTCGACCTCCAAATTTCAAGAATAAAATTCCCAGCAGAATTTTCACGGTCTATTACACCGCTTGCTGCGAGTGGATACTACCATGGGAGCGAATACCTCAATCTTCTCCTCTATGGCGCGTTTTATGTATATGACGGCCATGTCCCTCACGTTCTGTACGAAAATTTGATGGATCTTGTGATGGCTGTTCATCTTTTGCTAACCGACCACACCTTATATCACGGAAGTCTTTTGAGACATTCCGAAATCGTGTCGGAACTTGTGGAAAAATTTTCCGCGCGTTTCGAAAGTTTATACGGGAAGCGAAAAATGCTTTACAACACCCACCAGCTGGCCCATTTCGCCGAAGCCCTGTGCAGCTGGGGCCCTGCGTACCACTGGTCTACGTTTTATCCAGAGGACTTCCTTGGACAACTTAACCGTTCAGTCCACGGAAGCACGAATGTGATTACACAGATACTACGTAATTACCAGCACATCGAATTACTGCGGCGATCAGAGCATGACCTTCCCAAAGATGGCCTCTGCTTTAATGGAGCAAAATACACTTTTGCAGGTCGACCTGCAGATAAACCAGCCCGCTTATCCAGAGAGGAAATCGCTATTATAAATTTTTTAAACGCCGAAGAAATGCCAGGAAATCTTCGATTTTATAGCGCTGTTGTACGCGACGATAACGTGACCTTCGAATGTCGGGGCTACGGGAGGAAAGCCCGAAGAAACAATACTTGGGTCCAAACTGTCGCCTTGGAAGTGGCACAGCTCTTGGTATTTTTCTACAACCCGGAAGCCCATACTTTGGCAGCAGTTGTTGACATCATTCCGAGTGTTGCATTTAAGAATTTCAAGTTGCCTAATGGAGATAGTCCTGAGTTTTTTCGAAAATGCTTACGACGCCGACAATGCGTGGCAATTAATGTGTCTGCAATATTTCGCCATGCAGTTGTCATAATTGATCCAGTAATTGATTTTCCTACCTTCGCAGTCTTTATTCCTAATAATCAGTACATTATGTAACGGTATTGCTTGTCGACAAGCAGTAGATATTTCCAGTTTTGTCGTATTTTATTTGTTTGCAATAACTGGTGATCAATGATACGAATATTTACGCTTGCAAATTATGTCCTAATACTTGTATTTTTGCGGAGTAATTGCAGTAGTTAAACTAACAAGTCGCCACCTGGGGGGATAGTTTTGAGAAACAGAGTGTGGGCGTCCCCACCGATAACAAAGGGTCGGCTACTATAATCTCAAAAAAGCCGACACCCTTACGCGGCCCGGCTCTTGGAGAGGTTTTTTTATTTGCTAAAAGACAGCAGCAAATTTTCGGTGATAGTTACGCACATTCTCGTTGTTTACACTACTCAGAATTTGTCTACCTCACTTTCAAGTAATAAATTTATTGTTCTAAGTTTTTATGTAGTTGGTAAACATACAAGTCCTGTCGACGGTCATCATGGATTGTCAGAATAACGCTGATAGTAGTTTGCGCGTCGACGCGCAGAAAGATGTGAAATCGTCTGAGCTGGCAACAGGCATGTCACCGTTGGTTATTGTTTGCGATGTGATGGCAGCATAACTTTGATTCACTAACATGATTTTAATTCATCTCATTTTCGAATAGCCCAGTCAGAGCCGCCTTCTTCTGCAGCCAGCCAGATGGCAGAGTTCGATCCAGTTGAACTGAACGCAGCCGCCTCGTCATCGGTCCCGCCATCCGCTCCAGATACTGTTAACTACAAGTACCGTAAAACGGATGCATGGCGTGTCCAGCCTGGCATGAGCATACTGAAACCACGTTGTCGGATTATTCGTCCGGCTAGGGGCGTCGTGTATTCCGACGAAGAAGGTGAATCTGAACACCAAAAAAAGAAACCAAAACCTAACGATTTGCGTGTCGACACGCAGCAGGCGGATAGCTGCGGACCATCCGCCAAAGCGGAGGAAGTCGTTCGAAAACCTGTGCAGCCAAAGAAGCCAAAAAAGAAAGGGTTTATGTGAACTGTTGAACTTGAATTCATTGTTACTTGTTTTTATTTTCGTGTAGTAACGTCATATGCTATAATGCAGCAAGGTCTGTTTGGTTGCGCTTATTGGTGAAGTTTTTATTTGCGTTTCTTGGGTAATAATACGCAGCTGGTGCCGCACAAGGTCACCTTAAGTAACTTTGAAGTACTGTAGTTTCACTGGTAACGCTAGATTAGGCTGGTTCCGGAATCATATTTAGTCTCAGTAACGTTACCACACTTAAGTTACCTGAAGCAACGTTTAAGTACAGCAACTGCATTCGGTTACGTTAGGTCACGCTAGCCCCAGATTACGTTTAAGTAATTAACGTTACAAAATTATGGTTACCTTAAGTAACGTTGAAGTACAGTAATTGCTTTCGGTTACGCTAGGTGACGCTAGTCCCAGGTTACGTTTAAGTAAGTAACGTTACAACATTATGGTTACCTCAAGAAACTTTGAAGTACAGTAACTTAATTAAGTTACGTTAGGTTACGCTAGGTGACGCTAGTCCCAAGTTACGTTAAGTAATTAACGTTACAACATTGCGGTTACTTTAAGTAACTTGAGGTACAGTGATTGCATTCAGTTACGTTAGGTTACGCTAGGTGACGCTAGTCCCAGGTTACGTTTAAGTAAGTAACGTTACAACATTATGGTTACCTTAAGTAACGTTGAAGTACAGTAATTGCTTTCGGTTACGCTAGGTGACGCTAGTCCCAGGTTACGTTTAAGTAAGTAACGTTACAACATTATGGTTACCTCAAGAAACTTTGAAGTACAATAATTTAATTCAGTTACGTTAGGTTACGCTAGGTGACACTAGTCCCAAGTTACGTTAAGTAATTAACGTTACAACATTGCGGTTACTTTAAGTAACTTTGAGGTACAGTGATTGCATTCGATTACGTTAGGTTACGCTAGGTGACGCTAGTCCCAGGTTACGTTTAAGTAAATAACGTTACAACATTATGGTTACCTCAAGTAACTTTGAAGTGCAGTAATTTAATTAATATGCGTTAAGTTACGCTAGTCCAAAGTTACGTCTGAGTAAGTAACGTTACAACATTATGGTTACCTCAAGAAACTTTGAAGTAAAGTAATTTACTTCAGTTACGTTAGGTTACGCTAGTCTCAGGTTACGTCTGAGCAAGTAACGTTACAACATTGTGGTTAGCTTAAGTAATTTTAGTAAATCCGCGACAGTTGTGCACCCGGTTGCAGCTCCATACTCAGCCAGTGCTCCAGATACTTGCCAAAATTATACCCGAAAAAGCACTCCCTTAATTCCGGCGACTGACTGACAATATCGTTTCCGTGATACGCAACGTATTAGTCCCGATGTATCCATTCGTGTTAGCAATTCTAGACAATTTAAATTATTTATTTACATTTTATCTTACGAAATATTCAAAACTGCCAAATAAATTTTCAAAACCAAAGAAATTCAAGAACTTCCGGTGCTTGAAGCAATCATAACCACCCGGTTTGGCAGCGTAATGCAGTCTTGCACGCCACCCGCATTGGGTAAGCTGTTAATGTGACACACGTTTTTACTGCAGTAGAAATACTGTACTTACTACGTAAGCGGCCATATTGATTTTCTCCGCAACGCCACAAACGAAGAACTTCCGTTGATGTACTCTACTCCATGTTAATTGAGCTGATTCTGGTTTAATTATTTGTCCACAGTTCTTATCATTATGGGCCCTTATTGTGGATCAATTCGACGATTTATTTAAATTGTGTTCTTGTGCAATAGCGATCTGTGTATCAGCGGATCTGTATCAGCAAGTGCGCGCGCGAGAGACGACACGGACTGCTGCGGAATAAGAAGAATTTGTCGTTGTCGTCCAAGCGGGTGACTGTCAGCGGATGTGGGTTAATTCTGGGATTAAGCTTGACAGGCCGAAGTTTCGGTCGACGTCCATGTGAACAGCATTCAGCGGAGCAAAAGGTTTGTTTGATTTGTGTTGCCGTTTTTCAGCTTTGCTTTCGTAGAAGTATTGCTAACGCAGAGACTTGCAAAGTACGGAACTCACCTTTTGAGCCTGTACATCTACTGTTGAATCTGAACGCTCACATCACACCAGTGTTGTTGTACAACGTACACTGTTATTAGTCAGTAGTCAATTGAGCAGTTGAAGAATTGTTTTGTCGGTTTCGATTGTTTACGAATTTTTTACTATTTGTCGATTAATGTCTTCGGAAAATTTTTGTAAGGGCTTGTCTTGCAAATTATTTACAGCATGCGTGGAATGATTATGTAACACTGGGTTTTTGTTCAAGCGCATACGTTTTGTAGTAATGACTAATAATTTATTGTAGTTCTTTAAGTCCTTGTTAGTTACTCTCCCTTTGTTTTCAGAATGAAAATAAAAAAAAAGGTTGCCTGATGAGTTGGTTTATTTTTAGCCGAGGTATTTTTTGTGAGGACGCCGCATTCTGCTTTAAAACTGAATCCTCAAGTCAAATAATTTGCTTGCTGTAATTCTTCTGCGATTTGGTTTCGTGCCGTAAAATTGATTTACTGTAATGCTTAGACTGTTGAAATTCTACTGTTATACTTTTTAAAATTGTTTTATACAATAATTTATTTTTACCGGTTACAGTAATCGGCTTTTCTGTAATTTGATTTTTTTTTTAAAAAGGTGTTTTCGTTTAATTTTCCCCGCATTGGATTTGGCTGACTAATATTTAAACTGTCCAATGTAGCGATCACTCTTCCATAGTGCTTGGTTATATGTATGGAGTGACGCCATGACTCTTGGGCTGGTCGTTATTGATGATTGCGTTTGTTGCTGAATCTGTTGTTGTGTACCGGAATGAGCATGCAGCTATTTCCTTGAAAACGCTCCAGATTCACGTTTTTATCGGTCGAAAAGTTACCATTATCACTATATTCTACTATCAGCATTGTAATTTTTCCCTTGTAAATTCACGGATGTGCCGATATGTAGTTTCACTAAGTTGTTTTAATCTTCTACAGTATGACTTGCATATTGAGTTCATCGTTTTGACAACATTGTATAAAACTTGTCTTTGAATGCCCTTTTATGTGGTTTTGCTTTTTGTATAGCATCTGGGGAAGGAATAATATTTGTAGACTGTATGACTGTGGATTTGACTGCTTGAGACGCGTTTTTCGGATGCATCAGGATTACCGTGCGGTTTCTGGTTTCCACGTGTTGGAGTATTGGTAAGTGCTTGTTGTGGTAATTGTTCGGTGTAAAAAGTGTGTCTTCTATGTTGGATCGCGTGCGCAGACAATTGTCAAGTCTCGTGAATTATTTACCACATTTGCCGTATCATGACACACTGAAGGGAAAGTATCCGGCGTTATTTATATGATTAATGATCGGGAGCATGTTTCCTTAACTGGCTGAACTTTTTGTGCGAGCGCACTTGGTGGAATGTGTCGGCTTTTGAGTGCCTGCAAATATTCGGTAGATCGCCGATCAATATGACCGTTTCAAAAATGTCTGATACTGTAATATTGACTAAAAAATTGTAACATCATAATTAGTCGACTTTGAAGCATTTAAATCTACTTCTAAAGCAGTTAAGCAACAACATTTTGTTTAAATTAAAGTAAATTTGAAGTAAATTTTGCTTGGATTAATAATTTCGAATAGGTGTATGTTAATGCAGTGGCTGGCAGTCAGTTTTCTCTGTACTGGACCCCGGCTCGTTTAGAAAATCACATCAGATGGTTCAACATGTACAGTATACTTTGTTTGTGCAGCTTCGAATTTTATATTTCTAGTTGATTATTCTGAAATTTTTAAAGCGGTGCTTTTAGATTCATGTCAGCACTTATTTTTGTAGACGTTAGTATAGTCAGTTTTAATATTGTAAACAGAGCCGGTACTGAATTTTTTGCGTTGACTGGAAGGAAAAAATAGTGGCACCGTTGTTTCCGGGCCAAACTGTAAACGAGCAGTTATGCACATTAGTGCAGTTATTTATTATTTCGCTCATCTGTCGCGCATTGCGCTTTCCATGCACGAGACACAGTGGCATTTGATGATTATGTAATCCACGGGTCTGATTTCTTGACCGGCGCGGAAAGTACGGCTTTGCCTTCTGCACTTTCTTCCTGTTTTCTGTATTCGGCATATTCATCTTCTTTAACGTAGGTTTTCGTACCTAAGCGTTTTCTTAGCATTGGTGGTATTATAGCGGCAGTATTCTAAAATTTCAGCTTACTGCAACCTTTTGGATTCTGGGGCATTGAATTGTTGAAGGAGTACGAGCCAGAAATTGCCAAAGTCATCCGATCGGATAAGCACGGTATCCAAAAAATTCTAGTCTGGTAAATTAGTGATTTTATAAATATAAAGCTACACGGGCAGCGATTTTATTAATATGAAGTACTACGGGTGTTAATTTAATTTTTGTTTGAATATTCAGTACTCGAAAATCATTTGTCGTGACAGTGGAAACATGGCGGATCTAAAGAAAATTAAAAGCGCGGCTGTGGTAAGTGTATCATTAAAATACGTGAAGCAATCATAATTAACGTTATTAATTACGTGTATAATAGTTAGTGCTTTTTAATTTGTGTTGCAACATTTGCAGCGCATTGATGACACATTCAAATGCATGATGCATCAGACGTCGGACTCCGCAGAATACAATGTTACTTCTTGTTGCGGAAACCTTATCTGCACGGAATGTTTCAAAAGTTTGATAAAAGACCAAGCAGAAAAAGAGAAGAAAAAAGAAGAAGAAAGGGCCAGGACTTGGTATCAGAAATATACGGATACTGTGTCCGAGGATACGTCACTGTGTCCGAGCTGCCGAAAGTAACCGGTACTACATTTAAATTTAACTTAAATGCTATTATTTTTTTCAGTTAAATCAGTTGTATGTCAACATCCTTACAAGCCTGGGTGGAAGTCGATTCGCAAGCTGCCTTGGGTGAACGAAGTGCAGAAAGAAAGCTCTAAACTGGTGGAATCAATTCAGGCGGCGATATCAATTGGCGGTCGACCGCCATGTCGGGAGGGGTCGGTGCAGACCGATCTGGTGACCGTTTGCGCTCAACCTGGGTTGAGGACGTGTTTTAAGCTTTGCCAGTTGCTTTCATGGACGGTTTCCCTGAACTACATAGACTTGCGATACAAGGTGGCCGCATCTTTTTGACGGGGAAAGAACTGCGTATGCTGCAAACGCTTAACGCCGTAGCGGTCAAATTCAGCGCCTATCCGTACGTATTTTTTTAATTTGAGCCTCCTGGTGTTAACCGCTTGTTCTCTGCAGAACTGAACAGCAATTTCTCAACGCTCTTGGTGTTAAATATTATCGGCTCCTGTACACAATGGAAGCAACTGTGTTCGACTACGGAGACATCGCGGCGTTATTGGAAAAGATGTCGGCTCCCGCCAAGTTTATTGCGGATGTAGCCTTGCCAGAAGAGCATTTCCGCCCAAAAGTTTTGCGTAAACTACAAGATTCAACAGAGTATGTCACGCAATGGGTTCGGCCATTCGCTGCAGGCGGAAAATTCGACGTGAGTTGTGGATGTCGACATCCAATTTTGTACACGTTTGGGCATAATTAATTTTGTAGGTGGTCCAAGCAATCCTTGAGCGTTTGGACTTAGCTGCATCAGAAAGCCGCTGGACTTCGAAGCACCGCATGCTGTGCACGGCCCCTGCACACATAGATGTGCGAAATGCCGGGTGTATTCCGCTGTTCGTAATGAAGATTTTCATCAGTATAAAATGTGCGTAATAAACGTACTGCAAGATTACTTACATTCGTATTTTTGTTTAACCGGGGAAGCGCATTCTACTGCTTTTCTTAAGGGAGCGTTTTAGTTAAGATGTGTTTAAAAAAATAAAATTGTTGTTGGTTAAATTTTTATAATTTCAGTACAAATTATAATTTTTAACTTGTATTTTTTCGCTTAAGGGAGTCTAAAAAAGAATACTACGTGCTGTGCGCTCTGTGTGGGCTGAAAGTCGATTGGAACAAAATGGAACAACATGTGCGCACCCGTCACAATGTAAGTATGATGAACATAACAAAATGCAGTGCTCACAAAGTGCAGGTGTACCTGCAAGTTTTATGTTTCAGAAAGCGCGCTGGGAAGTTTGTCGTCGATGTTGGGCTCCGACGGATGGGCCGCATGCACAGGACATCCCACACTGTGTGGTTTGCCCTTTATCGACAAAAAATCAGATAAGCGCACGATCTGTATTAATGTCAAGATTAATTTTTGCCAATTAGGTGAGTGTGCTTATTACTGTGAAGTGAGACGCAGGCATAACCGGCATCGTTCATGATTATTGCAAGACGTAATCAAATATTTGAATGTTGTTATCATTATTCGCAGTTTTATTTTATTTTCCAATTAATCTCACAGACTATTTATTTCATTGTCTATCTTTTGCGATGTTTACCTGAAATTTTCTATGATATAAAAATTAGTACTAAGCTTTGCAAGGCTAACCTTAAACCCTCAAGACATCAAAGTATTTCGGAAACAATTTTACCGGCAATAGATTGGCCGAACTGCGTCAATAGCCCTGCCGACCCGATACTATGCATTGTCTATGGGATCTCCAATAGATCTGCCAAACGACGACGTGATGACAACCCTATACCATATACTAGTGACTGCTCAACGAGCCGATGCGTTCTTGTCCGACAGTTGCGGTGGACAAACGAAACGGAATGGTTGCGGTGGACAAACTCACTTTGTTGAAATTTGCGATCTTTAAAAAATTAAGAACGCCGGGTTGATGACAGTTCACCTTTGTCGTGCAAGGCTTGTAGTGGTTGCAATCCATCAATTTGCAGAAACTGACCTTTCAAAATTTCTAATTATGCCGAAGTAATGAAAGTTATCAAAGGGTGTTTTGGTACAAGTATGCTGGTTAAATTTTCATGGGTCAATCCGATATCCGACAAAACTGAGGGTAAGCATCTGGAAGTTTGGATTTCAGCCGCTTGCATTGGATATTTTTTAGTTCTAGTGATACATATGTTTTGGGGTATAATTGCTTCTGGCGGTTTTAGTATGTTCTCCAGAAATGTTTCTTCATATTTAAAATAATTTTCCAATTCGTTTGCGGTGTAATTTGTCAATCAATTGCATTTTTTTCCAAATTTTTGCGTTTTTTGGATACCGGATATTTAGTACCGTACAACATCTGTTCTCATACTGAAGACATCAGATACGTCACACGGGACAATCGACACGATGTAATTGATCGACCGCTTTCTACCATACAGACGGGGAGTTGAAAGTGCCGGACCACTAGAAGAAAAATCAAACAAAACGACGACTGAAAAATTTTGTGCTTTGATAATACTATATATATATATATAGTATCAACCACATATTAGCTTGATATCAACTTGATATCATAACTTTCCTTGGTACAAAGCGAATCAAGTTTTTTGGAATGGAAAAACTAAGACCATGAATATACTCATGTGCACGTACGAGTAATATATAAATTCAATTGCAGCGGTTTCTCTAACAGTCTATGTACTGCATGTACAAACTACAATAGAGTTGCAACTAAAGATAATATTAGGCAGTCTCGTAAAAGCACACGCGCTCGTAAAACCTATAGTCATATCTGACAAGAACGTATAGACTCATTTAACACACAGCGGTATGCCGGCTAGTGCTCGACAGTGGTATCAGGTTTCATTGTTATCCTTGTTCGTCGGATCTATTGGAGTGCCCATAGACAACGCATAAGGCGGGTCGCCAGGGCTATTGGCATAGTTCAGCAGATCTATTGCTGAATGATAATGCTATTTCCGGAAATACATACTTTGATACTTCCGAAAATATTAATAAAGAGCACGAGTTGCGAATATTCTGCGAGTTTGGTATCGGTGGAGCCTAGGCAGCTGCATCTGATGCTCCAGCCTGCCCGCCGCTATTGATTGCTGCTTGCGCTCAGTAGAAGTGTCAAGTTTCACTATTGTGCCGGTTCGGCCGATCTATTGGAGATCCCATAGACAATGCATAGGGTCAGGTCGGCAGAAGTGTGGGTGCAGTTCGGCAGATATATTGGTCGTTGTATAAAAAATGCGTTTTAATTCTGGGTGCCCAAACTTTGCATGACATCGCCATTTAAACGGTCAATATGTTTATGTTGCGGAAAACGTTTATGTTGTTTATGTTGTTATGTTGGTTTATGTTGTTTATGTTGTGGAAAAATTTTAGGTACAGTAAAACCTGCGTAATTTGAACACCTATGGTTCCTTCGAAAGTATTCAATGTAAGCAACTGTTCACTTTTAGCAGTGGCATTCGCAGCCTACGAGACGCGGCGTTCCCGCCTGGGCGTTCAATATTCGCAGTTGTTCAATCTCACAGAGTTTTCTGTACTCTTGGCTTTTTAGTAAACGTTTTCCAGTTCGTTCAAAGTTACATCAGCGCATGTAGAGGCTACCCGAAATAGTGCATTTTGCCGAATAAAGTGCCTGATAATTTTGTATACAGTAGTGCATATTGCCGGTTGTGTAGTGCATATTGCCGAATAAAGTGCCTGATAATTTTAAGTAGAACTGTCTAAGCCTAATGTACAGATACACTATTCACAGAAGATTATAAGCTTATGCGTTAGAAAAGTGGTTATTTGGAGTAATAAATCTGTTCAACAATTTACTTTGTTTTGCGGTGGAAATCTGCGCATGAATCACATACCGCAGAAACTCCCCTCTGAAAGGATTAGGCAGGGTGGAAGGAAAAGCGCCCACTTTTCTCTGCTTGGTGTCGATACAATATGCTTATGCGGTTGTATAATGTATATGATGCAGCCTAGCCGCGCGCTATTACCGGCTCGCACTCAACAGAGATATCAAGTTTCGCTGTTGCGCCGGTTCGGCTGATCTATTGGAGTTCTCATAGACAATGCATAGGGTCGGGTCGGCAGAAGTGTGGGTGCAATTCGGCAGATCTATGGGAGAAAAGCCACTTTCCTGCCGGGCTCGCCAACAGTCAACAGGCCAATAGATCTGCCGGCTACATGCGCCGATTGACTGCAGCAACGCCACTATGAGCGGTACGAGACCGCTCTAGCAAAACTTCCTGTTAAGAGAATATCACTCGGAGAGTGGAGATTTGCTTTTGATCGGCAATGGCATCATGCTCGCTATGCATTTGGGAACTTGTTTATGCTAACGCTTTCAACAAATTTCCAATCTCTTCCACCATACTGCTTTTTGAGCTCGTTACCTATTTCGCAAAGATAACCTATAATTTTTGTAATAAGGGTTACGACGATTTCATGTCCTTTGGCGTTTGTAGTGGCGGATGAAAGACGATTGTGACATGCAATTCACGGCTAGAAAACTCCAGTTTATCTCATACAGAATTTCAGTCAGTTGGTTTACGTCAGTTGGCTTAAGATATACATGTACTTCGAAGGGTTCGTTTGGCACGGTTTACAAAGCCGAAGTTATAAAGCGCGCTATTACAGAGGCGACAATATTGTGGGTGTAAAAGTGATGCAAATCTGTGTTCCCAGGAACCCGCCAAGAGCCAGGAAAGCTTAATGTGACATAATTACATAGGGGGACAAACAAGTCTACTCGGCCCGGTTCCCCTGTACTGCTGCCGTCACCTGGCTGGAGTGTGACGTTACGGCATACATACGGCTAAATCAGGCGCGGTACATAAGCGCCATGTATAGCCACAACGTAAGACACCAGCCGGCTGACATCAGAAGTACAAGGGACTGGTTCGGCTAGACTCATTTTTCCCTCTATATGTAAATACTTCAAAATATCGCTTTAATGCTATTATGAAATTCACGCACTGACCGGATTGAATACAAAACTGAGTACACGTGCAAAATATTGTGTACATAAGTGCTGCTGTTGCTAGAACATCTCAACTCGAGGTGTTTCTCCTGCAACGCGTTCGTTCTGCAGTCCTTCTACATTATACATACACACTGCCTTCTGCCCGATTCTGGATTAGATACTGATTCCTGGATATCCACGCACGATACAGCGCAAGTGCCGGGTCGCAATAAATGGCGGCTCTTTTGTCAGTATCGTCTCCAATATATCCTTTATATTGAAACTGCACAGCAAGGACACGAAGATCCACGAGATAGAAGAAGCTGTCGGCTTCCAGCGATGCAATTCGACACCAAGTGATAGTGAGTATGCGAAGCTTCGGAGAAGTAGTGAAATCCGTTCGTTGGATAGTCAGATTGGAACGACAGTCGAATATACGAAAATGCAGCATGTTGATCAGCATCATTTCACGAAGCTTGCCGGTGGCTCGACTGCTTTCCGCAAAGTTGAGCTGGAATTGAATAATTTGTTTACGAATGGGTTGCAACAGTTTGCCGGTCAAATTCTGGAAGTCTTCCAGAGAAGCGGCAATGTTGCGCATGGGTGGCCGGGGCAACTCCTCAATGGCAAGTCCTGGTTCTCCTTGGTATGGTTTGTGGCAAAGTAGTTTGTAGAATAAAACTGTGTCATTGTGTTGTCCTTGGGTACAGTTGGCATGAAAGTGGAAAATTAAGCACAGGCCATCTGACGAATACTGTTCTCCGCCCTTTTCAGGTGTAATGGTCAAGATAGGCGACGGGGCAGTGGGTAGACGTAGTCTTCTGGATCGGAACTGCGATCTGGAAGGTTTATAAATCATGTGTACAGTGTACTAATACTCGTGACCATAAAACATATTTGAACACGGTGTCAGGCAATTAACAAGTCCATACACCAAGCGGTTTGCACTACAGAGTATCTTCCAGTAAACCAAGTACTCTTACCTTCAGGCTCATGCGGGGCAGCGGCAGTAACATCTGAAGCCATGCTCGCCGTGTTCGATGAAACGCAAATCTCCTGCGATGATTTTACGAGGGGAGTTGCCACTGCTAGCGCTGCCTGGATTCCCTACGGTAAAATTTTTAATGTAAATCGTGGTATATTGGTACTTCGTACATGAACGGACTTATAGTGATACAGCGTATCGAAGGTCCTCTTAATTCAGCACCAATGCAAAAATGTATGTGTGTTCCTTACGAAAAGTTGTTACGAAAGGTCTTTCGAAAATGTTGTTGGCTGGTTATGTTGCTAAGTTAAAATTATTGATTATGTTAATTGTTAAGAGAGCTACTGGTTGCACGTTAAAAATTAATTATCATCCGCACACGCGAAAAGCTGCTGCGCTCCGGTCTGCCAATGCACGCCAACGTGCATTTATCCTAGTTATGTGAATACTAATTATCTGTGCCAGGATTTCGGCACCTCTTCTTCCCGGCCAGTGATCTCAGCTTTTAATCACTCGATTTTGCTGATTTAAAGTGCAACAGAATCTTTAGACTACGGGGGAGTGTTTCCGGACTGTTGGCGCTTTGGCAACTTTATTTTGTTACGCCCAGTGGTCACTCAAACACTTGTTACCATGGATGCCATAGTGGGCGGCTTTGTAACCAAGGCATAGTGGTGCACCGCAAAAGACGCTGCAAAATGACAAAGACAACAGTATACAGTAGTTACGACCACTGTACTCCCGCTTATTGCCCAGAGATCACGTCCCTAACCTAAATTAAAAAACTGCATTAAGAATTTCAACGACCTGTTTCTACCAATATTAAATACATCAACCCGATGCCCCATTGGTGTCCCTAAAATGGATGCAAGCGGAGAAACCTAGCACAAGTAAACCGCAAACGTAACACCGAAAGTCCTTTTAACAGGCAAAATTTCATAAATGACTACTCTAATGTTCCCATTGTAAATCCTGGCCAAGTCCAGTGGACTCAGATTCTCGTTCTGTCCCATTTTCATGCCCTTCACTAACGGTATTATTGTAGGGAAATTCGGATCTTTTGCGAAGGCTTTCAATTCGTAGTGCATAATCGACTGGTAGTCGTAGGGAAGGTCATATGTCACGCCTTTACGCTTCTCGAACTGGGCTTTGTCCTCTAAAAAACGCGATCGGTCAACAGTCTAGCAGCAAAATCGTCTGCACATTTTTGTTTTTTTTAAGACATGGCTGTTTTTTAAAAAGCTGTTTGCTTCTGACGCGCCAAAAGATCTTATCAAGCAACAGCACGAAGCGTTACTAGGTTGAGGATTTAGCGCACCTGCCGCAATGTTATCCCAGTTGATGATAACGTGGTCATCCCGATCGAGGCGTGACTGTTCGTGGTAGAACCCCAGCGTGTGCATCAGCTCGTGCTGGATGCAGCCGTAATGGGCTGTGCAACTCGGTGTCAGTTGTATTAACTGCTTCTGTCCCAACCGACCGATATTCGACGAGCATCTGAAATGAGCGAACTGTTTTAGTGCTGACGGCATTATACCATATCAGAATGTGGGTGTTCGATTGCGGACTGCTATCGAGGATGGCTCACTGAAAGCTTTTTTGAAATTTAACGTAGTCAAGCTGGTAAGTGCGAGGCACAAATTTGACGCAGTTGCCGGTGAAATGCATGATAATATCCATCGCTTCCTTAATCATTTTCTTTTCCGATGAACCTAAAACCGATTGTTGTGAACTTGTGATTGCAAATATTTGAATTATTTTGAATCGTTATACACTAAAGGAATTCTTGAACCATAGTTTGAACGTCAAATGGATTACTGAATGTAGCCGAAGTTTGCGTGGTGAATTCATAGGGAACAGTGTTGTTGGGCCACAGCAAAGCGTCGTTGTCGACCGCATTGGCGGCGGAATTCCCTTTCAACTTCCAATATACCGCTCGCGCATTAGCGATTTCTTGATAATTAACGAGCAAATAAATAACGAGCCATACCTCTTCGAAATCAATCCCTGCAATGTCGCCCTCCCAGTAGTCGTTGCTGTATCGTGATTGGTCGTTACTATCTGCCATTGCATCGGCATCAACATACTGTCTCCAGTCTGCAAATACTGTATAATAAAGTTATTCAGAAATTTGTAGTACTTAAACGTCCTTAAAAAACATCAGTGATGGTAGAGGCAAGTTACGGAATTGAAAGTTATTTTTGAATTACTATCTGGTAGCGTTCGGGCTGTGGAAGATCCACAGAGGAGGACGAGTAATGCGATTCCGCATCCCAATCCGAAGTGTAACATTATCGCTGCTTTGCAGTGATTACCCTGATAAAATGGGTTTGCACGCTATCTGAACTGCGCAGGCAGTCATGCCGACTTGCTGATTCAGAATACTACGAGAACAACTGCCATCGGATTATATGTAGTCGCATATTGACGCTGTGTTTCTTGTAGCGTGATTTCAAATCCATGTATGATGATGCAACATACACCGCTCCGAGCAAAACTTAATTACAGTTTTGTTGCAGAACTGGTTTCCAAAAGTTAAGATACTCCTTTTTATTTTTTCCTAAGGAATAATTTGGGTAATGAATGTGAATATTAAAATATAAGCAATAAATTATATTCGGTTTTACCAGGCTGACCTAATGAATTTTTTTATACAGTTGCAAGGAAACAGAAAATGAAAGATTTTTCGAACCGTGCTAATAATTGGCTTCCGCCTCATAGAACTGCCTTGTTAAGTTGTTACAACTGCCTCGTACTTTACTGCTATTTTGATCACATATTTTCGTATCCATTTGATCTTCTTATTGACGCAGTCCTTGTTGCACTCTGGTGCACCCTAGGAAAAGCAAAAAGGTTAGACTGCTGAAAAGCAAAAAGCTGATTTCCAGTTACTTGTCAGCATTTTCATGGATCAAATCTATTGTCAGGATCGCTTGGAAGCCAGTGCTAGAAGTAATGAACTGCTTACCGTTTAACAGATTAAACAAAGAAGACAAATCTTGCAGTCGACGCGAGGATGTACTTTCTGCGAATGCACGACATGATAACTGTATGTAACGCGTGCTCCGGATGCACAAGAACTGTACATAAATGTTAACTGCGAAAAGAATGTCTTAAAACAGATAAATTAAGAAAAAACGGATGTCTGTAGTAAACGGGGTGCGGAAAGGGGGTGGCTATAACGCGTCACCCGGCGTGATGCGCTTCCGGCAGACAACTGACGTGCACCGGTTCTGTGCCGATGTTCGGTGTGGAAGATCGCTACGGGATACACGTAACGGCAAAAACAGTTGATAAATAAGAAACACCCTTTCAGTATACCAACACTGATGCGGTAATGCTGCCTTCGGGCAGCAGGCAGTAGTTCGTGCCTCACCGGGAACTTCGCGGATGTGGACGCTGTATTGTATCAACGCCGAGAAAGCACAGACGAAAGTATCTGCAAGTTTTTTACGTATATATATCAATACGTCGGTATTTTTTTATTCACCTACAGATAAGTAACCCTGAGTCATGGCCACCGCACTTTTGGCACTTACCGACAACTTCGTTGGAGCTGCCATCTAGAAGGAAGACGGGAACATGCGGCCGGAGTGATTATTCTGGGAGGTAAGCGGTCTGCCGGCGCCGCATCACCGGGCTGGCATCGGACCGCGCCCAGCACCCGACGCGCGCCGATGTGCGCAGTTCCACGCAGTTGATGACTTGCGTGCTGCTGTAAATCGCCAGGCCGTAAGGTCACAGACAGCGCCGCCGGGAACACGACATAGCGCTGATTGCATCTGATGTCACCGCTGACCTTCCACGGTGGCGCTTTCAAGTTCATCGTTGCGGTGGCGGGGGGATCCCGGCGATGGACGAGAGTGTACGGAATGCTGGAGACCGAACATGTAGGCGGTGTTGACGCGGTCGTTGCGGAGGTGAGCTAGCGGGAGTTGGTTGAGCAGCCGTACGATGTCCGGAAATCTCAGCGGCGTGCTGTAGGTGATACCGTGATATTATGCACGGCGCCGTTGAGTTAGTTAGTTACATGACATTCAAACCCATACTGCAATAACAGGAAGCCAACGAGACCATTCACAATTACGGAGTCTTACACTGTAATTTTGTGATGCCGGAATTAAATCGGTCAGTGGCGATGCTGTAGTGGCAAGTAGCACTGCCTGCCCAACAACTGTACCAAAGGCCTGCCGCAGGGCCGCTTGCCACGACAGCAGGTCTTTGGTGCAGCCGTTGATCAGGCCGATGATTAAGAGCAGTCCGGGCAAAGCAGGAAATAAGCCACAAGCCACCCGGCTGCAGCATACCCGCGTGGATAACAGGATCCCTCCATCGAAGCTGCATCTCGTTAGCAAGAAAGGTCAACATCCCATTAGGAATTTCGAAAAGTTACGGATGCGAAGGGATAGATGACATAAACATTAATTCCGTAAAATCATTACTTCGATTAGCCGTTGAGCGCAGAATTCCATGTCAAATAAAATATGAAATTAGGGAAAGTAGTGAAGCTACTGCAATATACAGAGAGCATTTACTGTACATAAGCGCCAAATAGATCAAACTGCTCCAAGAATTCTTGGGAATCAAACGGCTTCAAAAATCTTGCACATTGTTCGAAAACTGGGGAAGACTTTGGAGGCCGTTTTAACGGAAGCTGATATTTATTGCTGACTGAATCTAAATCCGATGTACATATTCTGTTCACAATGCCTGCGCAGGATTTCATGAAACGTCAAGATGTGCTGTCTCATGACGGCAATATACTGTATGTTAATGCATTCGAAAATGCCACACTGTCTCCAAACGGTGCCTTCGGAGCTATATCAGCGGTATAAGTATTTCCTCGAATCGAGGAAATATTTATACCGCGTATATAGCTAAAGTAAGGCAGACCAGTGTCCAAATTACTCTTCAGAAATAGTCTGGACTGGGGAGGCATGAATAATTAAAAATCAACCATTCATAAGCTGAGAAAGCAGCGGAGGCACCCATAAACCGAGAGAGAATTCAAATTGTCACTGACTTCATCCCTTCCGATAAATGGCAAGTTGCAAGAATGACGAACGTTGCTGGCGTAATGTGGGACACCATACCGTGTGATGAAAAGATCAGTGATGGAGAGAGTACAGATCTGTACAGGAAGCATTAATCCGACACACCAATAAGGTCAGCCATGGCCAGCGATCTTGTTGCCCTCAAAAACGAGATGACATAGGTTACCATCTTTACCTTAATGAGAATTCTCCTACTCTTAATCCTTACTACAGATCACATAACACTGCATCTTGCGCAGTATCATTTGATTAGTTCCGGTTCACACTTTGCCCTCGGCGTCTCCGTATCTACAGCCTAACCTTTAATGCTCCGGCCGGCTCGGTATACTGGAAAATACTTCCGTGTTCTTAGCCGGGCTCAGGCCCATCGGGATTCCTGTTGGAATTAGAACGACTGGAGTATTATCTGTAGCAAGTCAGTACAGTAATTACCTGTACTGCGTAGTTTCTGTATCGGCCACATTAGGGCGGGACATTGCACGCTGCCACTGCGCATATGTGCTCCTTCCCTGAAAGCGGAAGCGCCACAGGGCGCTACTGGTCGGCCGTTCTGCGGTGGCTGTCCGCGGACCGGCGCACAAATGTCAGCCAGCGCCGCCAGCCAACCTGGTCCAGTTTGATCTACGTGTAATTTGGTCTAGTGTGAGAGGAACTGGCGATGACACGCGTCTTCCTCCTTATGCATGTGGTCATTGCTTGTGCCAGCCGGGCTTTAACCAGTTCACAATTCGCAAGTACATATTTCGCCCTTCATAGACTTGGTTATTACGTCTCTCTCCTTGTACAGTCAGTGGAAAACAAAAAAATTCAATACAAAGTTCCTCAACCGCAGTCGATATCCAAAACACATTAAACAGTTGAAACTTTGAGATAATTACACGGATTCCGTTGAAAAATTATCAAATGCGCACAGGCCGCTGGAAGAATTCCAGTTACTTAACCAGCCATTTTGAAAAGCGAATTTATAACTTTACAACTTTCGAACAAACACTTTGCTGATTACCGATTTTCAGAGTACTTTATGTAAAATCAATTATTTTAAAATTCATTCTAGCAGTTAAACTTTTGCGGCATTCCTTACAGTCGCCAAATACTCGCAAAATGCAAAGCAGTTGTATAACTGGAGAATTACAAGTATATCGTCATAACTTGCTTTGGAACTTGCTTTCATATTACTGACCAGCGGTCAGTTCCGTGAATCAACAAATGTCGATTGTGCAGAAACCTTAGTTTCGCGATTGGTCACACAACTTACACTGCATGTCCGTGCAGCAGGTGGCATAAGCCTAATGAATGACAAGCAGCGCCAGTCACTGCATCCAGTGTTACCTGCTTTAGGTCACATACTTCAGGTAACCAGGGAAGTGCTCCGCTTCAGGCCAGCATCGGGCCAAATTAAGCTAAATTATTTAGGCTAAATTCAGGCTAAATTATCGTTGACGAGCCTTCAAACGCCGCAAGTGTGAATTTGATAGCAAAGCTAACCGCCAATACGTGCATTTAGTGGCGGTGGCCGACGGACGGACACCACGTTCTCCATAATCGCTGAACACAGATGACCTTTGCTACGCTTCGATCGAGAATGTATATGACGGCTTAAGAATTTCACCGTAGGTGTACATTTATAAATTATTGTATGTCTGTATTGTTAATTTACTTGTGCAGTTACAGAGTAATACCATTTCTAGTACTTTTATCGATCCACAGCTTTGTTTCAAGTCGCGACAGCTGTACCCTGTTGATAGCTTGGTGATGAGAGGTACGGCGGAAAGGCTTTCTCCTTTCGGTCATACTTCTCATTTGCCAAAGCTACCAACAGAAAGCCCACCTGGCGGAGCATCAATTATCGACATTCAACAAAAGAATAATTACCCCCTCATGGAAGCCCGTAATAACAAATCTGACACATTTTGGCGATGGGCGCCGGATTTTGTCACTGCGGGGAGAGAAACAGCATGATCCATACTCGGACAAATCAACTGGATTCCCATTACGGATATACTGCACGCAACCGTAGTTGGTGTTGTTCGTGGCGGATACACAGTGCACACATTACTTGCGCTGACATAGTAAAAATGTGCTCAAAGAACGGAATTTGCTCACCTACAGAGTTGACTGGAACCTGTGCTTATAAACCTGTGCCAATAAAAATAAAAAAATATAAAATATACGCACCCATAAAGTGCTGGGTGACAAATTCTCGTTTACCAAATCAGCCAAATCGTTTACCAGATTACGCGCTGTGACGTCATGTTTTTATACGCGACCGCCGCTTGCGCGTCGCCGCTAAGGCTTACACAGAGCAATTGACCTCT